AGTCCTACAACACACACCACATACACACAAGGACACCATTCACAAAGCTTTACCTCAGACTGTACCATGAAAATTGAGCATTTAATTCCCTATGTTTTATTGTTTACCTACACTGCAAAAAAATAATAATAAAATAAAATCCATCGTGGAACAACAACTTGAATCTTATCAATTTAACTGAAAGAATAAAGAAATTAACACCTGGTGACCAAATTACATTTGTATCTGATTTAGAACAACTATAAAAAGCAATTTTCTTACTCAGTCGTGCATATTTTAGAAAGGTTTTAAAAGAATGAAGCTACATGGGAATGAACTGGATTATCTAACATATCAGATTGATTTCAATTTTAATTTTGATTGAAAATCTTATCTGGTGATAGGGCTAAGTCTTATATTTCACTTTGTAGAAAAAGAAAGGTGCTCCCCAGCATTAAAGTTTACTTTGAATCTTCATCTTGACTTAGAGAAACTGCAACATCCTTCTCACCACGTCAAATAACATGTGTTAAAGAGCAATGACTTGTTTAGCTAATTGTGTTTCCCAATTTCACAACCGCTAGAAGACAGTTAATAAAGTAGCCTACCGCCTTACTTGTTTTTCATTGCTGTTCCAGAAGAAGAAGGCTCCGACTGCCCCCAGCAGCAGCAGGAGGACTCCGGCAACGAGCACCGCGACCCCGGCCTTCAGGAGGCGGCCGGTGACCGCAGGCTTGACCGCGACGGCGGAGTAGGCCTACGGCGAACCAAACCCGAGAGTTGCCATATACAGGAAAACCATATAATTGGAGGATTAAAGCCTGTTTATAACTAGGCCTATCATTTACTACTGAATCTGAGATGGGGTCTGTGTAACAATAACGTTACAGAGACAGTGTTTTATCCTTGGCCCCTAACTGACCCCAGCCTGTATGAAAGGCCTGTATATCCCAGTGTATACGGGCAGTTTAGCTCTACTGGCCTGTATAAACACTCACCGGTGGCATTAGCTGCTGCAGGTCCTCTGGTCCCACCGAGGGAATCGGCACTTTCTCTGAGCTCCCGGCCATGACTGGAGCCAAACACCTAAGGAAACCCCGGTCCAACGACTTGTCTCTCTCTCTCACTCTCTCTCTCTCTCAGGAGGAGGGGAGAGGTCACGCTCGTATTCTGAAACTGCCCAGATTTGTGGCCGTAAATCAAAAGGTAAATTCTAACCTGCAATTGTTTATCACCACATTATGAGAACCCACTAATTTAATCCAAAGTTAGGCTTTCTTCAGAAAAGCATTCATCATGTTCCCCGTTGAACGTCACAGGCTGCTCATGTAACTTACATGAGTTTGATTCCTGCTCCTCAGAACTCCATACCATTACGTTTTCTGACAACCTCTGTGACTAGACTAAAAGATCTATTCAGCAAATAAGGAGATGATAGAGGAGGGGTGAGCCTGTCTCCTCAAATCACCTCCGCACACCTCCCCTCCCTCCCCTTCCCCTCGCGCTGCCTCGACAGACTGTTGGTGAATGACGGAATGTTGCGTGTTTTCCCCATCAGACAGACGTGTGCAGAAACGACAGACATGGATCTTCCCGTCTGCGTCCAGAACCACCGTGGCTGTTATAAAAAGATATCATGAATCCATGAATGATAATGGGGATGGATTGTGTAAGGCGCGCACCGTGCGCATTTGGCACACAGGGGAACATTTCTTCACAAGGACATGGCAAATTTGTGGTTCTTTAGCAAAACCCACTTGTGTGTAGATGCCCAGTAAACGTCCTTGGTTACATCCCTCTGTAGGCTCTTGGAGGAAGGAGCAGTAAATGCGCCTTTGCGCACAGCTCACCAATCAGATGGAAATGATTTATGTATTGGAAACCTGAGCATGTTTTTTAATGATTGTATTAACATGCATGTGATAGGCAGTAAAATCCAGTTATTCAGTCCATGAAAGTAAAAAGAATGGCTGTGATCGTTTTGCCCTTGATGTGACAAAGTGATTTGCGAGAAAACCTTGGCGCCTGTTCTGGCATCTCACCAGCAATTCACCAAAAGAAAAAACTGACCTTCTTCAGTGGACTGCAAGGGCAGAGGCTCACTACTGCAATAACAGCGACGCCTGTTGGCTTGTAGTGACTGGCCTGACTGATTACCCTGCAAGGCACCTCGCAAAGAACCTGCTCGGCTCACCTGCACGTTGGTCAATAGACACATAACTCACATGTTCAGAACAGTATTGCAAAGTTTATTTTCTGTCAGAATAGCGTGATGATAAAAAAATTCTGTACAATTACTTATTATTGCGTTCACATCCTTATCAATTTGATACCCTGTGGGTCACCGGCCTTCAGACTGCACCTTCTGGGGCCACTTTAAATAGTCAGCATGCTTAAAGACCAATAATTACAATTTATATTTACACATCTTTGCTTAATTATTTCTTTTATAAAAAAATAAAATCTCTGTATGTACAAAACTTGCATATTATACACTTCATGTCCAATAAAATTTCCCAGCGATTGAATGGACTTCAAATGTAACTTTTACAATAAAACAAAAAAAGCACAAATATGAGGATATAAACTTATATATGTGCACTCTCCAACATCAACAGATGACTTCATATAGTTACATTATTCTTATTGTCAGTGAATCATAAATTAAAATTCTGAATACATTATACATTTCTTTGAGGGTGAGCTGTGTGTGTGTGTGTGTGTGTGTGTGTGTGTGTGTGTGTGTGTGTGTGTGTGTGTGTGTGTGTGTGTGTGTGTGTGTGTGTGTGTGTGTGTGTGTGTGTGTGTGTGTGTGCACTTGTCTGTTTTACACATCATTACTGGGAGAGTGTGTTGGGGTGGGGCTGTAAACAGGGATGGCCATGTCACTGATCTCTTGGACCCTCACAGGCCTGGGTGGGGTGACCAGAACATAGTCGTACTCCTTGTGCAGCACCTTCTCGTACACGCTCTGTAGTCCCACTGTTTGGGGGATGTGGGCCTGGTAGTAGTTGTCCCTGCGGTGGACATCCCGGGGCAGGGAGGCCGTCTTGGGGAGGCTGCTGAAGGAGGACAGGGTCGGAGCCGGAGAGGGAGCTGCATTGGCTCTTACTGCTGAGGGGCTCCAGCAGCGATCTGAGTGACCCAGGACCTTACATTCGCTGGTGCAAGCCCACAGACCTAAAAGAGAGGAACGTTGGATGAAGTGCCAAAGCATTTTATACATCCATTAAAATTTACCCGTATTGATATTTGTCCTTACCATTTTGGCCACCTATGGGAGGAACCACTGCTCCATCTTTCTTCAGGCCAGTGTCTCCACTGACATCGCTGTCACTATCATTAAAGTCACTGTCCCCTTTGCCACTGTCCTTGCCACTGAAGGCTGGGTCCCTGGCAGAGATGGTGGTGTAGGAGTTCCCCTTCCAAATAGTGATAGGCCTCACCGCCTCCTTCCCGCTGCCATAGCCAGGCAGAGTGGAGTAGCCCTGTAGGAGGAGAGAGGTGAAAGAAAGTACAGGTTAATGTTTGCTGGATGAAGATTACTCGTTGTTGTGTGCCATGCCACAACTCCCCTCCCTAGTGCAGAGACCCAAAGGGACACCTCACCTCGTGTTTATTCGCTCGAAGCTTGCTGTTGTTGTCAGAGTCATAGACACAGGGCACCTCGCTGCCGTCCTCTGAGGCCAAGCACATGTCGCTGCTCCCAGGATGAGCCGAGGTGAACTCACCGGGCTGGCTGCTGTAGGAGTGTCCATCAAAGGCTGATTCTCCCCTGGCTCCATGGAGAGGCAGAAGTGGGTTGTCCACCACTTGGTTTCTGCCCCGCTCCAGCGTTCCCTTCTCCCCGTACGAGTCGCTGTCTTCTGCGCCTTTGTCCTGCTTGCGCCGGTTGCAGGTGGTGGCGATGAGTATGATGGCGAGCAGCAGGAGCGTGCAGCTCCCCGCCAGGACAACGATAATCACCACGGACAGGTCCCACTGCGGGTGCACCTCGTCCCCGGTACCTGACTGGTACACTGTCCTGTCGCTCGGCGGGGAGCCCTCAATGATGAGGAAGTGCAGCGTGGCGGTGGAGGTGAGCGCGGGTCTCCCGTTGTCACTCACTGTCACAGTCACGCTCAGGGTTTCGTCCACGTCGTGACTGAGCACCTGGTTGAGGTAGATCTCCCCGGTGGCTCTGTTAACGGAGAACACAGAAGGCTCACCGGTGGCCAGTCCATAGGACAGCTCTGAGTTCACACCTTCATCCGCATCCCTCGCCTCCACTCGGGTGATGACGTAGCCGGTCGGTGAGTCCCGGGGCAGGAGGACTTCAGCTGAGCTGTTACTGAGGGCCGGCTGAGTGATGACCGGTGCGTTATCATTCTGGTCCACTATCCTCACATACACATTAGCGCTGCCGGACAGAGGCGGAGAGCCGCCGTCGCTGGCCATGATACGGAGCTCCAGCTGCTTCATCATTTCGTAGTTGAAGCTCCGGAGCGCGTAAAGCGACCCGCTGGACGGATCCAGTGATACGAAGGTGGAAATAGGTGAACCCATGAAGTAGGTGTCCGCCAGCTTGTAAGTGACCTTCCCGTTTGACCCCATGTCCATGTCCCGCGCCACAACTGTGGTGATGTATGCGCCTGGTGCGTTGTTCTCCACCACGGCCACCTCATACACCGGTTTACTGAACACCGGAGCGTTGTCGTTCTCATCGGTCAGCCTGATGGTGTACTGAGTGATGGTCCTGAACGGAGGCGAGCCCAAGTCTTCTGCCACTACCGTGAGGTTATATTCAGGGATTTTCTCACGGTCTAACGGGCTGGTGCTCACAATCATGAAGCTGTCCTCGTACGCCTGCTGCAGCCTGAAGTGGTCGTGTCCGTACAGCGTGCAGTGCACCTGCCCGTTAGCGCCCGAGTCTCTGTCCGAGGTGCTGACCAGAGCCACGAAGCTCTCTCTGGCCGCAGCCTCAGTGATGTACGCTATCCCCGCAGTGATGGACGTCATAGGGGTGATGGAAATCTCCGGTGCATTGTCATTAACATCTTGCACCTGCACTACAATTTTGCAAATGGCCGGACTCGGGTTCGGACCTAGGTCGGCAGCCTGGACGTCAAACTCATAGGTGTTTTTACTTTCAAAGTCAATCGGGCTCTCCAGGGTGAGCCGTCCAGTTTTCCTATCCACTCTGAAGAGTTGTCGTATTTCCGGGGGCACCTGGTGACCGAACCCGTACACCACCTCACCATTCAGCCCCTCGTCCGGGTCCTCAGCGTTCAGGTCCAGCAAGAGGGACCCCACCGGTGTGTCCTCCGGCAGGTCCACGGAGAAGCTGTTCCTATCGAACACCGGGCTGTTGTCGTTGTAGTCTTTCACCTTGACGTTGATGCGTGTTGTTCCGGTGCGGGACGGGTTGCCGCCATCCATAGCGACCAGCTCCAGCGCGTAAGAAGCCTGCGTCTCCCGGTCTAGCTCCTTCATAAGCACCAGCTCCGCATATTTAACCCCGTCGGCCCTGCTGAGCACGTCGATTGAAAAGTGGCTGTTCACGGAGATCTGGTAGCTTTGGATGTAGTTCAACCCAACATCTTCATCCACGGCAAAGTCCAGCGGGATCCGCGTGCCCACCGCTGTGTTCTCGGAGATCTCCAGACTCGACTCTTTCCGAGGGAACTCGGGGGAGTTGTCGTTGATGTCCTTGACTTCCACCTCGACGTGGATGAGTTTGAACTGCTCTTTGGAGAAGCTGACCACGTCGAAAGCGATGAGACATTGCAGGGTGTGTTTGCAGATCCGCTCCCTGTCTATCCTTTCTCCTATGATCAGCTGCCCGTCGCTCTCCCTCAGACGGATGAAAGAGGAGTTGAACTGTTTCATCATCCTGAAATTGGTCCTGGAGCCTCCCGAAAAAGTGGAAGAGATGTCCTTAGCCAAGTTTCCAATCACTGTCCCTGGTGCGTCTTCCTCAAATGTCAGATATTTCACGGTCTTTCCTTGTGTGACAACAGCCAGGCTTGCCAAACAGACGCACATGAGCACCAACAGCCCGTTCCACCCTATTTCTCCCATCATGACACCTTTACTCCAAAATGAGCTGGTTATTCAATAAGCTCTCAGAAATGAGTCCAGTTTAAAGTTTAAAAAGGCTAAAAAGCTCTTCCTCCCCCGCTCTTATCGTCTCTCTGTGGCTGGTTCTTAGTGTAAAGCCTGTAATGAATATTCCATACGTCTTTCAGTGCGCACTCTGGGTGCGCTCCGCTCTCTCTATTGTAGGTGTACTGCTCTCTCAGCGCAAGAGAGCTGCAGTCTCTGCAGGAGGGTTTATACGGCGGGGCATGCAAATGAGCCGCACTGTGACCAATCCGGGCTTTGAGAGGGGAAAAGGGGGGACTTCTGAAAGACCTCTAAACCCTGTTTAG